GGTTTGTTCTTTTTTGATACACTGTCCAAACCTCAACTTTGAATTAATCTCAAATCTGTGGACAGCTGACTCCAAATGCCGAAAGACTTAAATTTATGACTGATATGATATATAAATATGGTATAAATTTATGGTATATAAATATGTTTCCCTCTCAAAACTCAATCATTATTATGATGGAATGAAAATGGTTGCTAAACTGAACGCTTCATTTCATTTGAAAGGAAGTGATGTGAGGTGAATACTGACCAAATTATGAATCAGACAACCTGCATTTATGTTTTCCACTAGAACCTTTCTATCCCTAATTCAGACTAATTCACAGATGACATATTTTTAAAAAATTAATCCAATATTAAAATTTGGTATATTTAGCGCATCATTCTGAAAGTTATTGATTGAAATGCTTGTTTAAGCGTTTCCGTGATAGCTAGTCGATATATGGATGGTTTTTGACTAAAATTTCACGCAATGGATTTCTGTCATCATAAAATTACAAGCTTCACTAAGTTCACGTAAGATGAATCTACGAATTTCAATAAACTGTCATACGGTCTGATAACTAACTACCACTTACTGTACACATACTCGTATCTATATATGTGTATGTTTTTGGAATTCTCAGAAACATAAATAATATTGTTATTCTTCTTCTGAATATGTATATGAAACTCTTTTCGTAAGTGGAAGCTGTTCAGACTGTAACGAATGGGAAGTTGATAACACTGTCATCTGGTACCAGATTACTCATCTTCGTAGACATTGTTCTTTTGTCAAGACAATCAGTCTGTGAGTTATGTCTTCGCAGCTTAATTGAGCTAATTGATTGCTCTTATTTGTTGTAATAACGTCGAAAGTCTTTCACGTTTAAAACTGACACACAACTTGAATTGCATTGTTGAATCCCTTCATAGATTTAGTTAACTGCATTTACAACTGTATCAACTAGCTTTTTGTAAGCTTTCATCTAACTCCTAGGACAAAGTGGTTAGAATAGCGATTAAAAGTTTGACGGTGGTAGTCCACTCAGGCAACACATGAATAATAGTTCAACGAATCAGCGAGCATAAAAAGCTACGCCTAAAAATTCAGAATAATTGAAAGACACTAATAATGGCAATGCTGAAACACAAGTATCAAGAATTAACACTGCAAGGTGAGTAATTAAATTTTCAAATTTTAAAAGACATTTTAGGTCTGAAATCCCATATGATGTGATCAAGCTTTTTTCTGCCTTTCAAGAAATCCTAGGAGTAAAACAGACAAAGCATCCTTTCATTAATACGTTCTATCAAGGAAGTAAACCTTTCCTACTAGAAATATCAAAGGGACTGAGAATAAAATCCTAAGTATCAGGTGAAACCAGATGTGTATGCAAGACCGCCACCTACTTGCAAGTGCAATTTCAGCGTAGGTTGAATTAGCTTTGAAGCAGACGTAGGGTAGCCAGACCAACATGTGACACTAGTCCATTATGTTTCTAACTATCAGACGGCGACATGTTTAGAGATGCAGAGCGTTCCCTGTGTTCCTGTGCATTGCTCTCTGTATCACAATCTCGCACATTACTGGGATTAAGAAACGGATTACTGAAACAATATTCTCACACTTCCCAGTTTGTTTATGCATCACTAATTTTGTACACATAGCTTTAATACCTGACTTAAAAATCCTTTATCTGGTTGATAAACTCCTTTTAGACTTCAAATAATGTCCAATGTTTACAGACTTATGAGGACTGTGTTTGGTGACTTAGTCCTTCAGATTCGAATTTACAAGTAAACTTCCAGACGTTTAACATAAGACCCTGCATTTTCTGTCTGACTTCATAAAGCACAAATAACAATTACTGCTGGAATATTTTAACGAGAAATCTGTCTAGTGGTTCTTATTTTCACTGTTTTACCAAGTGAGAAGGAAAATACGTGCCTTAGATAACAATGCAGCCCAGCTACTATGTATAGATTCAATTTCTGACCCACAAACCCTGCTCCTTTTAAGAAGTTCAAGAATACTTCTTAGCCATTCAAACAATGACGTGCTGTTGAATGTCAGTTGTACAACTCTTTCTAGAAATCACTGTATGGTGTAAAGTATATTCAAATTATTGCAGGAATATGAAAGTTGAAACAAACTTGATATTCTTATTTATTTGACTGAACATTTGCTTCAATATTGATGGAATACTATGCTAGTTCCATTATTTTTCTAATCATTTCGCTTTTGTGTTATCAAGTTGCATCCATACTGTTAAATGATCAATGTTTCCAATCTTGAGTTTAATTGTACATATTTATTTTACCTTTTATTTTCTAGAAGTTTACTGTCTGCTTCTAATGTTTCACTTTTCATTGCAACTTTTAGTATTTTCTCAATGTTGATGATGTTTTTTTGGTAAGTTCTTCTGATTGTATTAGTGATTTGTTCAACTTTCAGTTTGAATGAATAAAGATTTGTTTAAATTCAAATAGATTTATTTATCTGAAAAAAATATTCATTGATAATTGATTGAACGTCACAAAGTAACTGTCTTCAATTTACTCAATAAATTTGTCTACAATCTGTTGATCTACATCACTGCTACAGCGTGATAAGTAGTACTTATCTGCTTTCACTGGACGTTTATGGAGAGAAGAAGAAAAAGTTTGTGAAGACCTTGTTATTTTCATTCAAAATGTTTTGTATTTTGTCAACAGTGTCATTCTTCTGATGAAGCCTGTGTACTATCAGGTAAGCACTTATCTTGATGATAAATAGTGGTCTCCGAGCTCTTTTTAGATTTGTGAGATTTCAAAGTTTATTATTATTTAGAAAAAATAACTTTAAAGTTCAAATGTTTTAAATTCAACAAGTAAATTTTGTTCTAAGAACTAAGTTTTTTTCTTCTGAGTCATCATTCTCTTATAGTTTTATATATTAGAAGGGCCCTGTGTTATTATTATTATTCATTATTTATTATAACTTGTCCCTCGGGTTCCTAGTGAAACATACAGCTTCACTAGTACGTCTCCATCCCACTCTCTTCTCTGCAATCTTTTCAACCTGGCTCCACGACAGCCCACAACCTCTCATTTCTTCCTCACACAATCTCCTCCATGTCACCCTCAACTGGGATGCCCAACTCGTCGTTTCACATCTGGATTCCACTCGACGGCCTGACCTAGCGCGTGATGTCCTAGAATGGTTTTCTCAGTGCATGCCTGATTCTATCAATCTCTACTTCCTTCCTCCAGTGCATATTTGTTGTGTGATAGGTTCTTGGTTGGTTGGTTTCGAATCAGAGTTCCTTGTTGCTTATTCTTATTATTCTGGCCATCTGAGCTACGGTAACGAGCTAGTGTAGGCAGTTGCTGATAAATATCTGTAGTTTGTTGAGGGGTCCTGTAGGTACTGATATAATCCAGTTTGTGTAGATTAGGCTCTTCTACCCTTATGGTAATTGTATAATGTTTAATCAGAATAATTTATACTTTTCGTATTAAATTTTTCGTTTAGTAGAGCAAATAAAGACGCGTTATTATTTATCGAATGACATTTGGGAATAGTTAAACACAAAAATGAAAATACAAATTCTATTGTTGAAAAATTATTTCGTAAGGTTTATTTTGTGGTTCATACGAAAGTATTAAAAAGAAGTAGTGTAGTGGTAATAAAAATATTAAAGTGAATAATGACCTCGGCACTGTCTAAGTCTTCTTTTGCATTATCATATAAAGAGAGGATATCATAAACTCTAAATAGGATCAAGAGTAAGGCTGGGTTAAAGTGATATTCAAGCCATTGGATTTTGGTTACTCTAAAGGCCACTGAAGCAACCGCCGAAGTTGCCAGTTAGGTTGGATTCTCTAGGTTGGAAAGACAAGTTTTCATGAAAAAAAGAAGTATAACTGGTTAAATGAGTTGTCGTTGAAATGCGGCGAATTTAAAAGCCACCCTAACAACTGACAAAATTGCTAATCAGGTTGTGGTATTTTGGCAAGAAATGCAGTATTTCCTACGATAGAAAACCTTACTGGGTGTTACATCGGTTAATACAGTGACCTTTAATGCTACTCTCAGAATGTCCTTTAGAGTCACTCTTTTAGTTTACTAGCAGCAAACAGGGTGACTTCAAAGGTCACCCTAGCAGCTGCTGAGATAACTGTTTGGGTTCCTGTTGTATGAAAAACTACTCCACTAGCAGAAATTCCGAAATCAGATTGGTTATTTCATTAGTTTCTAGGGTGGCCTTTAAAGTTGCTCGAAAAATCTGTTCACCTAAGAGTCATATTACCAAAAGTAGATAAGACAACCTGATCTAACAAATGGCTTAAAATAATTGTGAGATCGAACACGTTTCAAGTTAGCCACTTAGGACCAGTTAGGTTGCCAAAGCGACCCCACTATAAGTAATCTAGAGAAAACCGTAGATCTAGCAATGAATACACAAACTCATAAACATACAATGGGGTAGGACAAATTAACAGAACTATAAGATATAAGTTGAAGAGGACAATCATTTGTCTAATTTTTCCCATCGAATCAACACAACACCAAGTAAAGGCAAGAGGTATGATGAAATAACCATCCATGGATGTGAAAAAAAAAGAATATATAGTAAAACAATAAGAATGAAGCCTGAAAAGTTATGTGACAAATCTGAAATGCCTGTAATCAATAAATTGTACTCGAAACGTCATCTATTAAGTTGTACTAAATAAACATATGCCTTATTGAACAAAAGAGTGAAATCGAGTACTGTTATAGTGCTCAAGTTATGCAGATAAAGGTGAACTGCTATCATTACCCAAATATTACCAATATAAACTCACCTGATTCTATTTGAAACATCCATTCTGTCCGTTGGACAGTTCATATTTAATGGAGCCTCATAGGCATAAGCAAGTACAAAACAGAATATAGAGCTATCTGATTGGTCAAAAATGTGTTATGTTTATCCATCACTCCTTAAATATACAAATATTCCATATTTACCTCTAATGTATATATCTGTAGTCAAAGAGAAATACACTGCTTGAAAACAAATGAATACTGAATTATAAATTCATCACCTATGGAATCTATAGAAGATGAAGAGTTATTTGATTTTTATCATTTCAATAATACTGGAATATCTGATTATCCACATGATTCTGCCGTTTGGATATATGCAGCCCCAATTCTCATAGTAGCTGGAGTCACTGAAAATAGTATCTCATTAATTATATTATTAAGTCAACGTTTCAAAACTCTACCGAGTCGTTTCACTCTGATGATACTAGCCATCATAGACAGCCTAGTATTATTTTTTGGATTAATACGTTATTGGATAAACGGAGTATTTGAAACACAACCAAGTGAATGGAGTGAAATATGGTGTAAGTTAATGTCGATGATTGTATTCACTTTATCTCATTTAAGTTCATGTCTTGTTGCCTTGTTAAGTATTGAAAGATTTTTTGCAGTTTACTTACCTCAACATAAATTTAAACCATCCATAGATTATTTTGGTAGTGTTTTATTAATTATCCTATGTACTTGTATTAATTTAATACATTTAAAATATACAGTTCTTGAAAAAAATCCACTTTTTCATAATAAAAACATTACATTACCTGAACCTGGTCTTCAAACTGAATTACATATATATGTCTGTGTTAATCCAAGTATAAAGATTGCTATTCTAATTGATGTATTGGATGTACTCTTACTATTTGTACTACCATTCCTTATTATTGTTATATGTAATTCATATGTAATATGGAAGCTAACAAAACATTCAAACCGATTAAAATATACCACGAATAATAATTTAAACTTGCATTCAATGTTCAATTTGCAAAATGGTAATATTTCACTAACAATGAACAGTGATATTGAACAAGTCAAATCATATTCTGTTATTTCAGTTCCGTTTAATTATCAAGCACATTCAAAATATATAAATTCTGCACCAGTATATGATAAAACAAAAGATTGTCAAAATAAGCCTATTCATCAGAGAAAATTAAAAACCTCAATAACAAAACGTCATTTGCGTATTACGAATACATTATTAGTAGTGACATTTGCTTTTTTAGTATGCAATCTACCATTCGCTGTGATACATATTATACGAACAGCTGATGATACATACCAATCTGATTTATGGAATAAAGCTTGGATGATATCCTATTTATTAGTATATATAAATAATTGTATGAATTTTCCAATTTACATTATTTCACAACCACCATTTCGTTCTGAGTTTAAAAAGATACTTTGCCGAACTAATAAAGATTAGCTTATGATTCGAAAAAAGTGATATCATCTGTAATTGGTTAATATATTTCGAAGGATTATTTTTTTTCCCTCTTATATTTTATTTGAATTTATAAATATATAAGGTATATTTATCTTTTTGTTTTACTGAATTTATTAGTTAAATATCTGCTAGTTATTGTTTGATGCTTGATATTGATACCTGATGCCAATGAGTCCAAAAGAGAATGAAATGAGCGTTCTGGGTTTTACTGTTAGTCACCAAGAGGAAAACAATGTAAATGGTTGCCAGCTGTTGAATTCTTAGTGCTTCTGCAGAGTTTGACAGTGTTTTACAAAAGGTTTAGGTTAGTTGTTGTAACCAACACCTCATTAGTACTACATTTTTTAAGATACCTATTAAGATTAGAATTTACGGTGAGTTTATTAGTCTTCAGAGTGAAAGACTTTCAGTTAGTATCAGAAAGGTAATAGATTGCAATTTCAAAAGCTTTATTATTCTAACTATCTGAGATAGCCATAGTTTGGTAAACTTGCACTGATACTAAGTAACGACTGAGGATGAAATGAAAATCTAGGGGACGGTAGGATTCTGAAGATCGCTGCCACAAATCCTATTGTGGCTTAGATTTTAACTTCACTTCAAGTCATCTCCTAGTATCAGAAGCTTTAGCTATTCTACAAGTTACGAATATTGATAAAGAAAATATGGCTACCTAACAAACTATAGCATATTCACTAGAGGCTGTCTTTCATTTTGTAAATCATCTTAAAGGCATTGTATCAAACCATTCACTGAAGTAAATTAGAGATGCCTGTGTGTCAGAAAGTACCTACAAACTAAAGCATTTGGACTGTTCAAACTAGATGGAAGTAAAATTCTTATCCCTCTACTTAGATTTTTCTCCATTTTCTCCAGAAATAAGATTTTTATTGGTTAAAATCATTTATAAGGATCCGTCAACGTAGGCATATTAGCAGTCTAAAACATTCAATAGACATTATTGGTCTGCTTATTTGTTTGGTTGCTGTTGGAAAACACGATCTTCATATTTGCTTATATATTTCACATCAAATCCAGTCATCATCATCATCAATATCAACATAGGACCAGGCATTACTGCTTTACGATCCAAGTTGCCACAGCTCATATCAGTATATCAAGTAAGAAAGAAGTGAGGCACAAGATGAAGATAGGAAAATTCAGTCAAAAGAAATATAAAGTACGAGAAGAAAGAAAGGAAGAATGACAAATTGGTGAGACTCGGTATAGCGTCGTCAAGATGAGGATAATGTGTGTGGGGATACATAGGCGCCACTGATATAGATTCTAAGCCATATCAACTAGAGTCTCCAACCACTGGTTCCTTTTGTCCCGCGGACCCCAACCACCTAGTCTGCGTCACCCTACATGGTTCATATCAACAGTCAGAGACTTCATACATTGGTGCCATGTTTTAGTCTGGCCACCTCGAGCCTTTTTCCAGCCTGGACCTACTTCAGCTGACATAGCGTGATGAGACAGTCGGTGACCAGGCATACGTAATACGTGTCCCAACCATCTCAGTCGATGAAGGTTCATAACCTCGTCAACTGATTTACCTCTACTCCCTAAAACTCTATACCTGACGTCTGCGTTACCCACGTGGTGGCACCATGGAATACGGCTTATAGTACGAAGGATAACATTTAGGCAGTGATATTTTAGGATCTAGTCTTTATGAATGTGTTTTGCTGAGGAAACAGGATATGCCAGAAAAGAATTAAATGAATATTTTGCAGTAAATCATGTGGCTAGAATTATATTTTGCTGATGAATTTGAGTAGCTTTAAAGGAAATTTTACTAGCTGCTGAAATAACCAATTGAGTTTCAGTATTTCGGTTGGGAACCTAGTTTTTCATAAAATAAAGAAACGTAATTTATTATTTCACCATTTGTTACGATGATCTTCAAAGTCGCTTGTTGTATTTTGTATTATTCACTTTTAAGTTACATTATTCATTTCAAGAAGGATGCAATACGAAATGTATTTTACTGGGTAACTGTTCACCCTTTTTGTTTAAAAAATGCTTACGATTCACTTCAGGAAATAATGAAAGTATGAATAGTTATACAAATGGAAAAGGGTTCATTTCAATCTAAACTTTGGCGAAGCAAATCACCATTACATTGAAGTAGAACGTTTTCGTTTCTACCATCTTTTCGATAACACTTTAGACGTAAAAGAGTTCATGTCATAATTCCTCTATTGTCATTCAATGAAAATATGATACAGTCAAGAATCAAAAAGGAAAATCTAATTTTTGCTCACTTATCACATATCGAGAACATGTGCTAGAGTAACACTAGCTGCCCGTTTTGCATTTATGCCTTCGATACTGTTATTACTAACATTATACAGACGCAACAATTACCTCTTTTTAAAATGTACGGGAAACGAGTTTTTTGAAATATTCCATGCTGAAAATTCCATACTGTATCAAACATATTGTTTAGAATAAAATGAATATTATTGTTGCTACTATTATTATTATCGGTTACCTTGACGTGGTGGTTGGGCTTCGATGTCGCAATGACCTAAGTAACTACGCTAGCTGAAATGTTTGTTCCCTCGAGGTCTTATTATGCCAGAAATTTCTGTTTGAATGGCGGTTAGACAAACAGCAGTCACAGTTGTAACTTAAATCACCACACTTTGATGATGGTTTGTAGGTGAAGTCGTACTTCCGCTAGCTGAACGGAGTGTGACGGCAGTAAGGTGTTTCTTATGGCTGACCGATAGTGCGACGCTGATACTGCCTTCTCAGCAAAAAATAGGGGTTAGAAAAAGTCAGCCCCAAAAATAACACATTCCACCCTCCCCCCACAGTATTCAAGTGTCGGTGGTATGGGTCCTCTCTAGCTGGCGTTAGAACAGTCAAACCTCAAAACAACGTCTTGCTAATGGCCGTGTGTGTCAGACCTCAAACAGATGTCCAATGGGCTCTGCAGTCACACAGATCCTTTCCTCTTTTAGGTACTTTGTGAAGAATCATCTTTCCTTGGGGTGGGCAGCTAGAAACTGTCAACCGTCCGCAAGCCTCTAGTACACGACGTCATCCGAAGTGATTGATACGAGAAGACTGATTCCAGCTGACTCTGGTCACAATAAAGTGTTGAAGCAACTGAAACATAAAGTGACCAAGAGTCTTTGCAATTATAGTGAGTATTGGTGGGTGGTAAAAACGACAGTGTTAGAGAAGACATTAGCGTTGAGTAATACTCAACAACTATTTAGACTTATTACAGCAAGGAGAGGACGATGGTTAGTGAAACCATGACCAGAAGGGATGATACGCTGATAAGTTTTCAGGACAGGTGGCTAGAATGTTGGGTAGAATGCTCTGAAGCACAGTGTAACTGGCCCACAGCAACGCCCTAGTTTCCCAACATTTAGCTTCAACCTGAATTGGACATAGATATAGGTCTCCCGACCCTCCTTGAAGTTGAGACGGCTGTAATAAACCTGAAGTGATGCAAAGCAGCAGGATCTAACAGTTAGTCACCTGAAGTTTTCAAGGAAGGATGAAGAAAATTCTTGTCTAAGGCGAGGAAGGCACCAGGTAGTGTGTGAGAATCAGAGATAGTGTCGTCAGACTGGTGTACTTCAGAAATCGTCCCAGTTTATAAGACGGGAAGGAAATTCTTTTGTGCAGCCGTAAGAGAATAAGTTGTCTGACGCCTAAGTATAGCTCAAGAACAAAAAACTTGGTGAAATTAGGCAAGATTCAGATCTAGACGAAAGGGCATCGATCGTATTTCCACCTTCCGGCAGGTTCTGAAACAAAGACACACCTGTCGGCGGCCAATACTAGCCATATTTCTTGACCTGAAGGCAGCATTTGACTCTGTCGAATGTGAGGTGTTGTGGCGGTGTGTGACTGCAAAAGGAGTACTCAGAAAGTACATAACACTAATTAAAGCTCTCTACTCGAACTCACGCAGCAGAGTTAGGGCTTTTGGAGAGTTTTCATGTGAGCTGGCAACAGCTAGTGGTGTTTGGTTAAAATGCTCACTGTCATCGTTCCTGTTTCATTTAGTTATGGATGTGCTGATAAATATCAGCTTAGGTACATCTGACTTCGCAGGGACTGATCTACTTGCTTGAGGGGATCTGGTTGACTTAGGGCACACCTATGATATTGTCCTGCTAGGTGAAGACGCTGACAAAATGTAGAGTAATCAGAACACATTGAGCTGAAATCTGTCTATGCTTGACACGTGTTTCGCATCTGTGAAATGTAAATTAACGCTACAGGACTCGTTTTTACCTACTGTCAATTTAATGATATTTGATGTGAAGTGGTGGAATGTGTCGATCACTTCGGTTACTTGGGGATTTGCGTTAGCTCGAACAGAGTGGTTTCTGACGAAATCTGGTCTCGGATCCACAAGGCCCGTTCGGGATTTGCCAATCCAAGTAATCTGTGGTTCCGACCGGCTCGATATCCGACTATATATCAAAAGACGAGTATACTGAGCTGCAGTACGTTCTCTCCTGTTATATAGCTGTGACACATGGCCGCTAAAAGAATATGTGAAGCAGTCGCTACGTTTTGACCACAGATGTCTTCGTAACGTTGCCTGTGTTTGGCGGAATCACTGTGTAGGCAATTTTGAGGTCAGGCAAAGGGTACCAAGGAAGAAACGCAAGTTGATTGAGATGGCGTGCATATGTACTGTGCATGCCAAGCCACTGCCCACCTCGAAGTGCCATGCTAGTTGTAGAAGGATTAGGATGGAGGTAGGTTCACCGTTCCCAGACCAAGACTTGGCACCAGTGCAAGAAGTCTGTTACCGTTAACCTGAGCCGTGTGTGAGAGATGTAGACTGCCTGGTTGTGGTCCCCGAGAAGAACATATTTAGCGGTTAAGGACTCTTGGTGACATGGCTGAAAACCGGGGACAATGGCGCAGATGCATTCACTCCCTGACATTTTAAGAAGTTTGAATATCCGCACTAAACTTTATCTTCAGATTGCTTATTTCCTCGCGCTACTTTATCTTCTTTGATATCACTCTATTTCTAGCTGTCTGTTCTTTAGGGACTTCTGTGAAGTGTAGCAACTTGAGTCGATGCGCCTGTG